CCGACAAAGCACCTACCTATACTGGGATCACAAAACAGAGAACTCACCCAACTCACCCAACACCGAATACTGAAGCAGATGTGTAAAGGTAGATTAATAGTGTCAAGTACAGAAAGGCCTCCAAAATAAGTTCCTACTGAAACTAAATCATGTCATAGGCAAACTTAAATGCAGCTTAGATTGACCAAATATAAGCTACAACAGAGTAGTTTGCCATTATTATATAGTGCCTTAATGCCAGTAATTTGAAATGGTTTTGTCTCCCAGTTCCTTTTCTAATGAACAACCAACCAAAACCGCTGCTCAACTGAGAAATCGAAGTATAAATATCTCATACGTGTCATTTTTTTATACTGCCAGCGGATATAATTTTTTTCTTCCTACACAGTTGAGTAAATGTTTTTCTTTTAAACATCTTCTCAGCATTTTAAGCTCAGACAGGCATCCTTCCTGAAGGCGACCTCGGTTCATTAATGTGCATCCTAGACTGCAGCCTGCGGCAATACTGGCTAATTCACGGGCTCCAGGGAGCTGCCCGCTGTGCGAGAGCCCTCGTACTGATACAACCAGCCTTTAGTAAGTATTCAGTCTGCATTTGGCCCTGTAAGCAGCTCACCTGGAAATGCAAAGACTGGGCAAGAGCAACGACTATGCAGGAGTAAAGAACTCCATTCACGATTTCGCAAGAAAACTGTACAGTTTATCCGCTTTTAAGCCATTCACACCACCCCCCCCAAAAAAGCAAACGTCCCACCTTTGATTTTAAATATTTTCTCCCCAGAGTCCACACAGGTGATGTAGATCGCATTTTCCATATCTGTGGAGGAGGCTACGTAGTTCCCATCGGGAGACACGCTGCAGGAGGTCAGGAGGCCATCGTGAGCAGCCGACCACTGGAACAGCAGCAGGAGTAAGCGAGGGCCACCAGCCCAGCAAATCCTCCCAACACTACTCTTATTACAGCTGGCTTAACGGTGGGCAGAGAGCTATACAAAGTGCTGCCTTTCAACTCTATGCACGTGGCCGACCAATTATTGTTTGTCAACTCTGAATTGAAAGAGAATCAAGCTGAGTCATTACTTAACAAAGGAATCGGAATGACCTACTAGAACCTCTCCTGTTTTCATGTCCCAGGCTTTCATCGTCTTGTCCCAGGATGCTGTGATTAGCCTGAAAAGCAACAGGCGGAACTACAGTGAGACTTTTACAATCTGGTTATACTTCCTCTGTGTACGAGTTCACCGATATATTGTGTACTGTACATCAAGACAAGCGCCCACACTGGAATCTGTTATTCCCAAGGTTGTATCCACATGCTTTCTTTAATCAAATTAAAGTGAATACTTTCCTCAGCTGGGTAAAGGAAAACACCTTGGTTCTATGAGCTATTTGGATTCAAAATGGATTGACTGTAAGATTTAGCATCGTCCACCAA